ACGAACGAACAGCGAGGCTCCCTGAGGCAGCTGCAGGCAATAGCTGCCACGTACTTCGTCTTTCCGAAGAAGCACATGCCAATACTCAGCAGCCAACGAACGTCAAATTCTCCACTACGCGATTCCCCAACAAGAAGATGTACATGGGGATGGAGTCGCTCTATTTGGGCTAATGCATGCTGCCACTAAGTGATAAAAGGACCATGATGTGGCTGTAGTGCCTACCAAGCTAGCCATCACAATCCTGCTGCTTGCTTCGACATCTTCGCAGGTCTTTCCCACTTGCTAACCACCCCGAGAACCAAGAGTCTTCTGGAAGAACGATTTGCAAAGTTAACTTGGGCGAAAACAACGGCCCTGCTCCCACGAAACGTCGTCCAGCTTGCCATCGGAGCAGGCTATGTAAAACTGTAGCTAAACTTGACTCTTGCACCTGAGAGCAGCACTTGTTCCAGAGTTGAGCAGAATTCGGCGTATGAACCGCTGCTACCCGATACTTGATGAGCGCGACGTCCATGTCTGAATGGTCCTCACGCATTCAAACTGAGTGAACCGAGAACTAGTGCGCAGAGATACAGCGCCTTGCTCACAGCTGGAACGAATCACGGCTTCGGGAGCACCATCCTGTATGATTGAACCCGCTGCCAGAATCGTCTTGGCGTTCTTGGGATCATGGGTCAGCGCATTGCCCAAGTAGTCCTTATGCCATATGCAGACGCAGTTTCAATTTGCACGGCGATCGTGAAGAGCGCTGCTGCAACCAGGACAAGGGCAAAAGCTTTGAAGTTCTCACCCATCCTGGACCGAACCGCGCATCCACACGCAAAAAACTAGAAGAAAACGCGAAAAACCGTTCAAGAGCTGACTCTCGCCGCGCTCCTTAAGTAGAGGATGCCCAGCGTGGTCAGTAGCTCTGCATGCTCGGGGGAAAACTCCAGAGCCTGCAGGGCATCCACAATTGCATCCATAAGATATTCCGCCAGTATCATCACACAGTGCATCTCTCAAATTTAGTTTTGGAGAGATATACACATACACTTTTATGTATGTGTACAACAGACTTCAATGCATCATTGTATATGTACCTCCATATACACACTATCAATGCGTTTTGGGTGTGTCCGTCTGTCTGTGCGTGTCATCTTGTGGACATGTACATCAGGTTCAACATGCCCAAGGATCCGGCAGACGGACAGAACATACTGCGCACACACACACACACAGACAAAACACACACAACACACCACACACCACTCACAACACACGCGCACACTCCACGCCCGCGCCCGCGCCCGCGCCCACGCCCACGCAACAAGTGCAGGAACACAACTTGACTGGGCGACGTGGCTACAGTTTTTACAGGGCGCCCAGGGATCTCTGTACCTAACTCGGGAAAAGCCGAAGAGCCAGTGGATTCAAGGCCCAGCAACCAGTTCTGCGTTTGTCCGGATCATGCGAGGCTCTTGCAATATTTACAGTCTGCTTACCCACCTACCCTTCAGGAAAGCATGCTTCTGAGACCTGCCCCTTAAACAATGCGTTACAGGCTCAAAACAAGGCCACAGCACGCTTCTTGCCTCACACCTTCACACCCAATGCACAAACATAGGGCGGGCAAGAATCAGCGAACCTCAGTGTAGACATCAATGGCAGACTTGTAGTCCTCTTGCAAGGCGTACACCTGCTTTGCACATTCGTTGAAACAAGTGAGCTCAACTTGCGAGCAATTAGTTGGTGACGAGTACTTCGAAGAGTCCCTGCCTTTCCCAGTTGCATGAAGGTGACATCATGCCGCTGGATGGCATTGGCCTGAAGAAGGAGCATTGGTTTTGTGATTCCAGCGAAATAAGCTTAAAAGGATTTAAGACGTGTTCGTTTAGACAGAGCGGGGAGAATCATGACAGTAAGGATACAAAAACTCATTCACATACATAATTACTTACAAAGACAGGATGCAGATGGCAGGGGTCAGCCTAAAGATAAGAAGATCGAGAAGCCCTGCCTTGGTGAAGCATTCGATGGAGCTGTCATACTGCCGAAGATACATGTGGCAGAGACCTCTCATGCATAGGCGTCACAGCTTTGACCCAGCTCTAACTGTCTAACCGCTGTCCAACATACCGGTCACAGATATGGCTGTGACAACTTACCCTGACGGCTGGGAACGCCACCCTTGTTGTGCCAGATTTCCCAATCTTCAGGAGAAATCTTCTGTGCTTCGTCGTAAACCTGCCGGCAGGAAGACTCCAAGCCAAATCTCTCAAGCACTAGCATGCTACTCTGCGGTTTCTCACCACTCATGTGGTGTGGATTCAAAAAACATGGCTTAGATGCTTTCCGCATGAGCCCCAGCCTCGATAGCTCCGCGATGTTTGCCGAGCAAGTAGAGGCTCCGACCCATCTGCGATGAGAGCATCCGTGCCAGCCCCTTCTTGTTGAAAGAAACTGTCACGAGTTGGCCTGCTTTAGATTGTACACGTTCAGCGGGCTGATGCAGGTGGCTGCCTGAAATAGTTGCAAAGACTCCTGCACCTGGCGCAGTCGCTGACAACTGCACAAGTTCCAAAACACGACCGCACAACAACGATCATGCACATACAATCACATGCCTGCATGAGTGTTTGCATGCATGCATACATGCATGCACGACGCAAAGCACACCCACACTCACAAGTGACAACTCCTGTTCAAGACATTTCAAGGGTGTCGCCGCCTGCCCCTCCTGTCGCTTTATCAGCGCCTTGACATAGATGGCATATTCGCACCTCGGCCATTCGACGAAGCAAAGCGGGTTGTATTGCTACCAATGTATGCTTTGCGCTGAACAAGCGTTCGATCTGGCCCGCTTCTCTTCACTCCAGAGGGCCGCTTCGTGATGCCCCTGACTAACAGAAGGCTACTGAAAGCCCAGGGGGTCCCGAGCTGTTTCGCTCGACTTAACAGTTCGACGCGTTTGTCACGATTGCATATCTGCTTGTGTACCATCTTTAAATCTGCATCCGGCGTTTGTATCTCCTTGTGCTGGCACCGGTCACGCGCAGTTCAACTTCAACTTCATTCATGTGTGCAGGGTCTGACCCTGTCTACGCATGTCACATTGTCGGAAACTGAGGCAGCAGCATGCCATTCGACTCTCGCAGCTGCTCTTCGATTACCTCCATGCATTCTTTGAACTCCTGCATGGAAGTGTGGTCAACGTAGGCTCCAGGTAGCATCAAAGCCCAAACCCCAGAGGTACCCAGAACTCACCAAAGCCTGAAATCTGACCTGAGCGACACCTGAGATTGGTCGAGTCGAATAGGCAGAGTCATGGCTGGCATAGCCCGAAAGCACATGCAGCAACACGCGTTGAAAACGGCAGTGGTACTAGAGTCCTGCCGAACGTATAGCAGGTTGATCAACCAATTCTTCTTTTCTCTGCCAGCCTGTCCACAATAGGAAGGGACACTCGGCAAACAGAATGCATCCGGGGCAGGGGAATGGCATCCTGCATCTGGAATACCACAACAATGATTCTTGACAAGGCTGGCATGAGAATCATGCATGGCATGCCTTTACAGAAGCGGCAGCATTGGCAGCCATTGCGTGGCGCTGGCAAGCTTGCAGAAGCTTATCAAAATCTGCACAGTTTTCCTCTATCGGCAAAGACCCTATGAGTGTCGTGATGCTGCTTAGAAAACGAAACAGACAGGGTGGAAAAAAAACATACTAGCCTTTGCAATCATGTGCCTAACGTCGCAACGATTCTAGGAGGGCTTTGATGCGATGTCTAGAAATACTGGTTTTAGGTCCCTCATGGTATCTCAACCCAGAAAACCCAGAAACAAGGCCAAAACAAAAGTACGCAATGCAGAATGATGATTATAAGGAGGAAAACACAAAACCAACTTGTACGTGACTAACTGCAACAATACGAACTCTAAACAGAGAGATAAGAATAGAAACACACACACACATTTGCAGCACTGAGGAGCTGTTCAAAGTACAACGGCCAAAATATGGAAGCTGCTGCAAGTTGGTGTGGCTCTGATCAATTGGCCAGCTTCAAAAATAAGCTTGAAATTTTCCAAAGAAGTTGGCACTTAATGTTAACCTCGCTTTAAAAAAAAAAAACCCTCAATTGAGAAACCCCAAGCCCGGAACTCAATTATAAACACCCCCCCCCCCCCCAATTAAGGAACCCCGGCCCGGGGCCCGATTCTTTCTTCGGTGGCCCTTTTGGGTAAGTCAGGGCTTGGGGCCCCCCCACCCTACAATAGGGGGTCGGGGCGGAAACAAAATCAATTGAGACTGGGGGCGGGGGTGGGGGGTGGGGGGGGAGTTATTTTTAGGAGGTCAACATTATGCAAATGAACCCACACTAGTCGCTAGTTGTTTATATACCACCAAATAATTGAGCCGACTTGCCGTTGTTTCAACAAAACTGGCTAGATAAGCTCAGGAATCAACTTGGCCTAGCCGGCGCGAGTACCAAAATCATGACACTGCAGTTGAAATCCTTTGCGGTCTTGGAACTGCATCATACACGGTTTTTCGCATTTGGAATCTGCCTTTTTCTATCTTAAAGAAACCAGTTGTATGTTCATCGAGCCGCTAAGCGCACCTTTCATGCATTTTGCAATGAAACGTCTGCTACAAAGGTTCCGCTCTTGGGACACATTCAGACTGTTTCAGCTTCATCTTGAGTCTTGAGCACTTTGTTCGCCTCACATGAGCTTTCAACCGGCGCCGGTGACAAAACTAATGTCTGCCAGCATGAAAAAAGGCAACATGTTTATTTCAACGTGACCTAAATGGGTTACATTAAATTACTTAGAGCCGCTTTGGAGCCAATCTCAAACAGTTAATGGTACTTGAAACTTAGTTGAAGCAAGCCGACATTCCTCATAAGTTGTAAAAACCTTTAACGTCCCCTGTCAATGTGGTTTGCATGCTTTCCGCACCCCATGCATCACCCGCAAAGTCCAGCATTCCCAACACCACCGCTGGCCAGCGTGCCCAGCAAGTGCATGCACTTCGTAAACTGATAGAAGGCAGTAGCCAATACTGAATGGTAAAGACCATTTGTTGTCGCGGGTTTGTCCACACAAACATCCGCATGCTGCAACCCTCGTCCCACAACGGACCCAAGCGCCAGCAAACCCCCTCAATCTTCCAAAATCCCCGGCACCATCCCTGCACCCTCCTGGACTCACGCACCGCCTAGAAGAAAAACCTTCTGCACCCTCTCCTGTTGCCCTACTTGGGTACGGCCCTGAAGGTGCCCTGCATGTCCAAAGTATCTGAAGTGAGATCCCCGAACAGGCCTTAACACCCTAACCCATGACTAAGGCTATCTGCTTCAGAAGTTACTTTCCTAAATCGCCCTCGCGTCACCCAGCGCTCGCCCCGAGGATTTCCAGGGCTGAGACCGGGGCCTTTGATCTAAAAATGTGCGAGGAACAGGCTGTGGCGAAGTCCTAACATGCTCGAGCCCTCAGGCCATGAAGCTGCACATGCACAAGTTTTGAATGCGCGCGTCTTGCATTTTCCCACGAGGCTTGCTGCTTAGGTTGGCTGACAAGGGCTGCAGTCCTTGGGCAATCTCGACGGCAAGTGCTACGCATGGAAGCTCTAGCCTCACTCGGCAGTCCCAAAGGCCATCCGGAAGGGAAAGTCTCCTGCACACACTGCGCCTGCGGAAAGATGTAGGCAACTTGTAATCACGAGGCATGAGATGGCTTGAGCAACGTGACGCTGTCGAGCCGACTCACTGGAAGATGAAGCAAGTCGGGCATCACGAAGCTGAACCATGACGCCTTACCGCCTTTTTCCAGATGGGGGCGTCGGTCTCGTCCTCGATCACCGGCGAGAGCGGTTGGCATGGTCAACGGCCACCTTGCTTCTGCGATTTCTGCGACGTGCTTGTCGCCTGTCGTCTCCTCGTCAGGCCACTGCGCACACAAATCACCGTGTCCCCACCTGTCCTCTCATGAGAGCCTCCCCTCAAGCCGTTTCACCGTCACCGCCACCACCCACCACCACCATCACAACCGCTCAGATGCCTCCCGAAGCACCCCAGCCTCGCTACAAAGCACTCCGAACCTTAAAACTTTGCCTCCACCCTGGGAGACTCCTCTCCATCCCTCGGGCTTTCCAACCAGCCGCCCACCTTCCAGCCCGCAGCCTTCGCTCCCCCCACTTAAGAAGTGAGTTTGAGCCATGCACACACGCATCATGACTGCGTGCTTGCACATCACCCATTGGGGAGTCTAACATGGGTCAGGGCAGAACAGTCTACAGTTGCCCGGAGGCCCTGTTGGACCTCCTGCCCAGGCCGGCCTAGCTCCCCTCACCCAAGGCCCTCACACAAACTGAGGGTACGAGTCATGTATTGCATGTGCAATCAGCAGAATGTGCCATACCGGATACATTATTCAAAACACATGTCAGTTGATTGCGTGTGTTTGGGATGCTTTTGGGCTTTCTTGCGCATAGTGCAGAATTATCAGTTGTCGACACACATATTGAGATCCTTCATGATCTCTCAAGCATTGTGCCCCGACCCGCCCTGAGCTATTCCTACCGCCTGTGAGCATCCCTCAAGCACCGCTCACTATCGTCTGTTGTCTGCAACATTCAACATAAGACTAGCCTCTTATCAGCTCACCACTGTCAACGCAATCCGCCGTGTCGGAGAGTACCAGCTGAAGCAGTCCTGTCAGCACGCTGCGCGGTTGCCATTGCAGAGCCTCTCGGCGGCTGAAGCCGCGAAGATGTGTCCTGGAGGGCGTTTGATTTCCCTCATTGCCTCTTCTACCTAGTTCTGCGATGCTCTGTGTATGCGCACTGAGCGCATTGTTCATGACAAAAAAACACCTCAAGATCTGATATCAGGGCCTGCTACCAAAAGGCCAGTCCTCGGGGCGTAAATGATGCCCAGTGTCCTTGGCATTCTTGGCCTTGTCGTGCTTCCTTGAAGATGACCTTGACTGAACTCCCTCAACTTTCCGCCTTGCCGCCTCTTGGGCCTTTTGCATCCGTTGTCTTCCCACATCTGCGGAAGTTTGCCCTGATGGCATCTGACTTGGAGTCCGCGGCCAATCAGTTAAGCTAATCTCCCAGGCAACTGGTGGTGGTTTTGAAGCCAAGTGAGCAGACGTACTAGGTGGGCTGGGTGAGTTCAGTTCACTCTCCGACTCATCAAATGCCGCTTCCGCGACATCCCGCTCCACAATGCTGCTTCTGCTTATCATCTGATCGTTCAGCATCAAGCTGCTGCCTTCCGTCCGACCCACTGCAGCTGAGTAAACCTGTTCATCATCTGACCTTGCGGCGATGTCGCTCTCGCCACACCACAGCTCCCCGTCATCTCGCTCGCCACCAAGCTGAGGCTGTTCTCCACGAAGTAGAGCCGCGGTGGACGCCAAGGCTTGCACGTCCTCTATACCATATCCTTCACGCAGGGCCGCTCTTCTTGCACCCATGGGTCGAACCCACGATGCCTGTTGGCCTTGGAGTGCGTTGTAGACCTGATCTACGTTGAGGGGCCGCTGGTAACTGGACCGGTCCTGGCCATGCCACGCTTGCGGGTCCACTTGATCAGGCTCGGGCCTCACATTGTCCGCTGGCTTTGCAGCTGACTGGCGGGCCTGGGACATCCGTGTCTCAACTTCGTCCTCCGTATACGACGTCTCAGGGGGATCAAGCCGATCTGTGTTGCAAGCCACAGACATCATCGGAGAGTCAGCAAGCTTTGGTGCGCCTGGCGCTGCATGTGTAGGTTGGAGAGCCTGTTGCGGGATAGGCGTAGAGCTTGCTGGAACATGGACAGGCATAGCCGACATGGCCTGAAGCGTTTCCTGTTCCCTGCCTGCCAATGCCTCTGTCATGTCTTGCACCGCACTTCGAACCACCTCGGAGCTTTTGGCCATAATCGCTGCAGCTGTCTCTTTGGCAGCTTCCGTGCTTTGCTTGACAATGGCTGCTGTTGCCTCTTGCGTTTCCTTTGCTGCCTGGGCAGCAGCAGCCATGACAGCTGTCAATGCAGCCTCATGCTTCTCTAATGCCTCCAGGCGCTCGAGAACCGTGTCTTCGAGTGCTTTCAGTTTTTCTCGGTCTTTCTCCTTAGAGTCGTCTGATCCTGCGAGTCCACCCTTCATGAAATGCTGAAGTTGTTGCATTTGCTGCATCTGCAACATCTGTTGCGTTTGCTGCAGCTGCATGGCCAGATTCTGCTGGACTGGATCAGTCATCGCAGGCATCGCAGGAGGCACTGCGGGAGGTGGCGCTGCAAGCATCATAGGCTGCTGCACCATGCTCTGAGCAGCCTGGCATGGGGCAATCGCCTGAGGCTGCATTTGCACGGGTGCTGGCAGCACAGGTGCTGGAGATGCTGGCAGCACCGCTGCGCTTGCTTCCACTGCTGCGGCGACCGGCAATTGGCCCATCTGGCGTTCTTCAGGTGATGCGCGTGAGCCGCATGGGCCTTGGTGAAGGAGTTCGGCTTCACGGCTGTTCAACACACGTCTGTCGCCCGCTACCTCTGCATGACGCGAACTGAGTTCCGCCCTTCGTCTCCGAAGCTGCGCCTCTGCTGCTGCGATGTCTGCACTACGGTGCTGAATGTCCTGCTCAGCTTCTGAAACTTCCTTTTCAAGCTTACTCAGCTCTTCTTGCATGCGAACCAGTTCCTCTTCTTTTCTCTGTAGCATGGGCTCACTGTTGTCCAAGTCATCTCGGCGTTGTTTTACTCGTTTGGCTTCGGCCTTCAACGCATTCTCGCATCGTCGCAAGTGTTGCGCATCTGCATCAAGCTGTGCTTCCCTGCACCGGATCAACTCCTCATCTGCCACAACGTCCTTCTCCTGGACCTGGACCCGTCTCTGAAAAACAGCCAACTCGGCCTGTCGGGTTTCAATCTGCTGCCGTTTGGACATGCTCGTGGCTTTACGCCACTCCAAATCTCTTTCTGCTGCTGCATAGCTTTCCTGCACGAAATTGATGTCATCCAGAGTCTCATTGATCAATGCCTCCCTGGCTTGAAGCTGCCATTCCCCAAAGATCTTTGATTCTACAGCATGGGCCTGATTGCACTGACTGCTGAGCGGTGACGGCGGTGACACGTCAGCAAGGCCCTCAATACTGTCACCCCACTGCCTCAACATTCCTGCATCAAACTCAGGCTTCTCGTTCTGCAGAATGCTCGCATTGAAGAACTCCCTGGCCTTGTGCTCCCAGTCTTGTTCGTGCACATTTGCTTGGCTGCCCCAGGATGGAATCGGAATCGCAGGAGAACGCAGGCAGGGCCTTGAGCAATGGCCGTTGCCGGGGCTCGCCGTGTCAGTGTGTCCATCGCAAGAATCTGCGGGCAGAACGGCTTTGCTTGCTTGCCATAGAGGGGGCGGACGCTGAGGCGGAGGCGGCAGATTCAAAGGCAGAGCCTCCAAGGCCAAGTTCACCTCCCCGAAATCAGCGATGGCGCTGCCATTCTGGACGAAGGGGTTTGAAACCGGCTGGTGTGTGAGATTGCCCGTCTCTCCTGACAAATGCTGCGGACCCTTGAATGCGTCTTCTAAGGCAGGAGGAACTTGTGGTGGTGGTGGCAAATCCCATGGCAGATCGAGAGCTGGAGTGGCTCCGAAGCTCAATCTGCCCTGCATCGGGAGCAACTCACCATGCTCACCATGCTTGACATTTTGGCGGTAGACATGTGCACAACGCTCACATTTTCAAGAGTAGGGCTCTGTGCGGCTTCATAGGGCTTCACATGGGGGCTGACGAGTCCGATTAGGATCTAAGGGACAAAGCCTAGTGCGACCCAGGTGTGTGCGGTTCAAACTGATGGCGGCTGCAAACAGCAACATGAGGCCATGATAACGCATGTCTCGTCAGAAAGCACGTTGGTGTTGTACGCTGCCATACCTTTAACAGCTTCGACAAATGCCTTTTGAACTCCAGCCTTGAAGTGTTGACATGACTTGACATGTGTCTTTGCCATTGCCTATCAAACTTGCTCATGGGTGCTGCCTCTTTCAACCTGCATTCGGTCCGCACATGCGGAAAGACACTTGGGGGTGATACTTGTTGGTTGCCACTAACTCGTTGATGATGAGATTTCAGCGAGTCTGCGGACGCTTGGTCTCATAGGCTGAGGCTCTGATCCCTTTCGGGTTCAGGCTCAGCCATGGATTGCGAATTCAGTCGGCCTGTGACCTGCCTAACTTGTGCTCCACCATCAAGCGGGACATACAGGGCGCTGCGCTCTACAATTACCCGGCGGTCATGGCCAAACACAATGTGACTTGAGATCTGCCTCTTGTTCAGCAGGATCTCGTCTCTGGGGCAGCAGAGCATCTCACATGCTCACTGCCATCTTGGTTGCCTCATGATCTTCAAGAGCGCGAATCTCCATGAGTTCGAAGAGCCTGCACGATTGATCGGCCCTTCACAGCCCAAACTGGAGATGAGAGCTTCGCACGGCTCTGGCAGCTCTGACCACACGTGCTGGCCTTTGAAACGGCTGCGTCTCATTTGCGAACTGCTGGAGGATCGCTGCGTTTGCCTCATGGAAGCTGTGCTTTTGCGCTTACGGTAACCTAAACAAGATGGAGATGCCTCTTCTCAAACATATGCACGCACCAGTAGCATCTCATCACATGCCGTATTCTGCTGCACTGAAGGAACATGAAGGTACTTACACATCTGCAAGTCTTTTGCGCACCTCCGCTTGCTTCTGCTGAACCAGCTTGAGCTGAGTGATGGTTGCCTGCACTGCATGCGCTGCTTGTGCTATAGCAGTTCAGAAGTTACCTGGCCTGGTTTTGGAGCTCAACTCTCCGGGCCAGCCCTCTTGCAGCCCTGATCACCTCCTCGACCTGCCGTGAGCATCCGTGAGCATCACATCTTCAGTTCAACAGTGCGCTGTGGTGCCCAGAAACTCACTACCACCAGCATATCCCACCTGCTGAATCGCAACCAGCTTCTCTGCCTCCTTGATGATGATTTGCTCCTGTTGCAATCGCAGAGAAGTCAGGTGCTGCTGACGCGCCAAAGTTGAGCCAAGCGCAGGCCCATGTCCTGACGTTCCGCTTTGCCCACCTCCACCTGCTACGGGACGGATGGTTCAAGTCGTATTCCACACAGTTCAGGGTTTGCGTAGTCGTGCTTTGCCACAAGCTTCTGGAGTAGATGTGCGATTTGTTTCAGCTTCTGCAGGAGGACCCTTGTCGACTTGCCTCCTGCATTTGCTCTTGTGTATTCTCGATCTCATCGTCATACTCATCAGGCAAATCTACCTGCCAGGCAGTGAGCAGTTCGAACAGGAACAGACACCAACGATCTTCACTCCCACCACATTCCCGCCTCTCTCAGCTGAAGACCTGTAATCTCCATTCTGAGTCCAAGCTCTGGCTTGTCAAAGTTTGATGCCAGCACCTAACGACACAGCCGTGATTTCAGCCACTCGGACCTGTCATCTCCGCACAAGACTTCTGAGCCACCTCCAGCATCTTCGCCGTAATTGTGGTGCGCTCCGTGAAGTATCTGGCATGCAGAAACGTCAGAATAGCAAACTGCCGAAAAGAACCCAAAATTTATTCGGGTGAGATTTCGCCGGTTGGACTGATCAGCCGCGAACAATGAGCAGGACTCAATGATGGCTGCGCGGGCGAAGCGAACAAACTCATCCTGGAACATCCACTCATGGTTGGCTGTTGCATTGAGGAATGGCGCATGTGATCTGGCTGCCACAGACCTCACCTGGTCTGTAAACACTTTCACTCGCGCTTTATTTTTTTTCAATGGGCTGGTTTCCGGAACACGTGCCCACCGCACCCCCCTGATGAAATCTCGCGATGAAGGGCCGTCTGGGCCCCGGCAATTTTGTCCCTATACAATCGTCATCAAACTGGATGGCGTGGATTGATTTCAACAGTTTCATTCCTCGCCTATGCTAAAATGACTTCAAGCGCTCATTCAGCACGTCTGGCAGAGATGAAATATCCAAATCAATGTTGCGGGAACCTTCTTCACACAATGCAACGGAATGAACCGGTGATTCTTCCGGGAATAATGGTTGAGATGTGTCGCCCAGGTTTACCACGTCCTTATCTCCATCCATTTGTTTTCCTTCGCCGGGGTCCATCGCTTGCATCGAGCTGATTGCAGCGTGGCTCGCCCCCCAAGCTGCGGTTCACACCCGTGGCTCGAGATGGCAATGCCAAGTCTCTGTCTTCACTTCTTGGTTCATACGGTCCGGAGGCGCGGCTTAAGCTACGACATTCTTGCTGCCGTCTACCTGCCCCGTGCTCCAGACGTTCTCCTTTCTTTCGAAGCCATGGAGACCGAGGTCTCTGCCTAGTTGCGCGCCACTCTCCCCCCCAGCTTCTTCTTCTTCTTCTTCTTCTTCTTCTTCTTCTTCTTCTTCTTCTTCTTCTTCTTCTTCTTCTTCTTCTTCTTCTTCTTCTTCTTCTTCTTCTTCTTCTTCTTCTTCTTCTTCTTCTTCTTCTTCTTCTTCTTCTTCTTCCTATGCTTCTTATTTGTCTTAATTTTCTTCTTTTCTTAGTATTATTCTTCTTTGTCTTCTTTCTTCTTCTTATTATTAGTCTCATCTTCTTATTATTCTTCTTCTTCTTATTCTTATTATTCTTCTGCTTCTCTTCTGCTTCTTCTTCTTCTTCGTCTTCTTCTCCTTTTCTTCTTCTGCTTCTCTTCTGCTTCTTCTGCTCCTGTCCGTCTCTAAGTCTCTGTCAGAACCCAGACCGTCATGAAAGCAACAGAAATGACGGTCCCTGTACATGGTCTCTCCGAGGATGTTGTAAAGGTCCTTCAGCGCTTCTGACCTGCAAGTCTGCGGGTGCACAGCGATGGATGTTGGCCTTCCAAAGATTTTCGCTTCGTGTTGACACCGCTGCGCTGCCTCAGCCTCCACTGAAATGACACCGACACCAGCATCTCCAACCTCAGAGGTGATCTACGACCTGCAAACTTTCTGCTTCCAAACATTAGATGGGCTGTCAGCCAGTCTGCGTACGAAGAAAAAAAAGGTGCGTGCACAAACGCCAAAAAACAGGCAAACCAACCAAAACCACACGCACACACCCACACACACCGCAACAACAAAACGAGCGCTTACATACACCCTTGCCACTGTGCGCTTCAACTGCTGTTCCTGTTTCACATAGGGAAGCTGTGCTCGTGCGCGTGGTCGGGTAGCAGCTGCTCCCTTCCAAGGTGTCACCGAATTCCAATCAAAGTGCAATATCTACAGACGACATGGGCGGGTACACAATACGAGCGTCAGTCATGCCAACCGGTGCTGCAACAAGCAAACAAGCGGCACCGACATGGCAGACAAATGCCCTGCACAGACTCCAATTTGCTGAATTGCACACGATGTCACCTGCGATAAGCTTCTTTCACTTGCTGCGCCTCAAGCCCCAACAGCTTGCTAGATGTCGACTGAGCACCATACCCATCTGCTGAGCGGGCACGAATAGGTCCACGCAACATCGGCTCAAAAAGCTCAGGCACAGATGCTCCAGCAACTCCTACAGGCACAGCAACTCCATGTCAATTTGGAGCCTCTGACCATGGGCTTCGGCTTCGTAACAAGTCGGCCTCGTCCATCTTGAATGAAGTACATGGTGTTAAAGGTCGCAGGAAACCTCAAATAAACAAGAGTCCGCTGTCGACTTCTGCCGCAACGAGCAATATCTTTGGGTACTCATGGCTGCATGATTGAATCGCTGCGTGTGTTGCAGGCACATTTCAGAATCTTAGCACTGCACTCGATGAGGTAGTTCCCGAGGCCGACCCACTTAAGGCCAGGGGCTGTGATCACCTCCAGGGAAATCAGGGTGTGCATAGTAATCCGGGTGTAAAGATGTGTAAAGCAAGCTATCATACGCAATAAGATTGACGACCACCATAAGTCCATGCCTCGTCAAGGATGTTCTGTGTCATCCACTGCAGTTGCACAGAGTGCCTTCCTTGCTCCATCGCCTTGATGGACATCGGCCTCAGCTAGCTGACAAGCTCTCATGGTCATATCACAACTTTACCAGCACGAACTAGAATTAACTAGAACCCTGTCCTGAGCCACGGGCACTGCAACACAAGTGAAAATCACCAGAGACAAGCAGGTGCAAAGCCCGCATACCGGCACAACTCGAACTTCTTCGATGCCTTGTGCTGCTCGCAAGACTCGCAAGACTCGCAAGACTCGCAAGACTTGCAAAAGCCAAACGATGCGACTCACGGGTACCAGCTCAGCACAAGCTCAGCTGCACGCCCATGCCGCCAAATCGTGGTGCAAATTAACAACTAGCAAAGCTAGTCTGAGCCCACGTGTGGCAGGAAGTTCTGTGTAAAGCAGCATCGATCTGCATGGCCAGTGCTCACTCAAGGTTACAAAGCCAAGAGGCGAACATTGAGCAAACTGAGCACAAAGAAAGGTGCGAAAGATGTGCCGCTGTCCAATTTAGACTTCTGATTGCTAAGCGCCTTTGGAAATTGCGCGAAGTTGATGGAACAATGGCACTCCGAATAGTGCGAACTGCTGCACAGAATTACTCCGCCAAAGGTTCCAAGATGTTCCAAGTTCTTCACCATGCTGAGTTGATTCGGAGAAGCTTCAACAGAGTTTGACGGAACATTCATGTTGCTTTTCGGCCTGTCCTCCCCGAGATCTCGGAACACCTTCTCACATGCCCGAGCATGACAGCTCGGGGCAAGAGCGAAAGCAAACCGGCGATGTTTTTTGGCAAACGAATGGAGCGTAGATCGAGGGAGCAAAGCCACCCCGCACCGCCAGCACATCCAGAACAGCTTGTGGTGCCACGACCTTGGCATACGCTCTCCACGGCTTCATGATGCCACTTGGATTGGATGTTCGCTTGTTCTCTTGCAAGCCGAGAAGTTTCCGAAGGTCCGCACGTAGTCTCCTCTTACCACTACATCCAGTTCACTTGATCTCACCGAGCTTGAGGAGGAGGACGCAACTCGCTGCATGCAGGCCTTCGTGAGACATGCGATTGTCAAGAGATCTCCAGAGAATCGTATTTTCGGTGTCTTGAGGTTTTTCCACTTTTTTGGGGAACCCATACATAGAATACTTGCGGCATCATGTTTAAGACAGCTTCTGGGCGCCCCGTTTGAGGGGGCCTCTTGGCGCCTTGCTTTCTTGGCCCTCGCATCTTCTTAGGGTGGCTGCTGGCTTCTTGGGGCCGCTCGTCTCTGGCGTGCCTTCGTCCTCTAAATGAGAGCCTTCCAAAGCCTCTTGCGGGCCTCTTGGCGTCCTCTTAGGCTGTTTCCCAAGGATTCAAAAGCCCCTTGCGGGCGTCTTCTGGTGTGTTCTTGTACTTCCAAGGGCTGCTGAGGGAGTGGAGGAACAACATGGATGCTCTTGAAGCGACCACCATCATAGACAGAATCTCGTTTCACTTCTCTCAGCAGCCACGTCTGGACCCTGGGAAGTATTCTATCTATCGTCTTGGAAACCTGGGAGATAATTTTGGAAACGGCGTTTTTCGGTTGATGCCAAAATGGCTATATGTATGTGAACCATGGGAAGGTCCGTTGCCCGTTGGCATGCACGGAAAGGCGCCTGAGCCATGAAACGACGCCATGTCTGCAGCCTCTCATAACCTGAGAGACAGAGGCTACAAGTAGCATGTCACGAGTCGGCAACAGTATCTCCAACTCGTTCGAACAAGGATCCGACTCAGAATGGCTCATGCAAGGCAAGCTCCGGTCATGCCCGACTAGAATCTCAGGAAGGTACCGAAGAGCAGGGCCTTCTGTATGTGCTCAGCATTGAGGACCTTCTTGACGGCCTGCTTCTCAACACGCGAAGCTTCATTCGTGCCCAAGACGTCCTCAAACCATGTCGGCTGCGCAACGGCATCCAGGAAGCTGACTCCAAGCGCCTGGAGGTCCGCGACGAAACTGCCTGATGAATCAGGGAAGCTCACAGAACGGCAAAGTGCGACGCCGTCACATCTCCGTTGGCCGGCCTTTGAAATGCCCATCCCTTTCAAGGAGGGAAATCCAACGATATCTCAAGTCACCTCCAGGGTCACCTCCAGACCCAGCCAAGAAGGAGCCGATCTCGCCAAGGTCATCGACAACTGAGTGGCCACTGCACTGGCACTGACTTTATTCGCCTCTTCCGGCCAAAAGGCGTCTAGAACAGGCAGACCAGCTCTGCTGTAGTATTTGCTCAACCCACTTGGAGGAGCGACAATCCGATGTGGGGGTTTCCAGGCTGTGAGCCCCTCTCACAGAGACCGCCAAAAAGCATAAAAACGTCAAAACTCCGCAAACTGGGACCTGGACCCAGAATGGAAATTTGCCCTGAGAACGCCCGTGGGACCATCCGTCTAAACCCCTCCGACCGTGGTGCTGCACGACATGACACATGACCTTCGTCCGCCAACAAGAGGGTTCTGAGTCGGAGCCAGCACCACCTTCGCCGCAAGTAGTCCCGTCCGAGTTGTCCGGCTCGGAAGCCGAGGCAAGGCGCGCAAGCGTTTACAAGCAAGCAACTTTCTGAAGGATCGTAATTGCAGTGTACTTCAGCTTAGCAACCTTCGAAACTCACAAGGATGTTGAAGAAGAAACTCTCAGCAGGTGATTCGTCAATGTTACAGACATGCAATCCACGCATGTAAACAACAGAAACTGCTTGGCCGCAGTATGAAGCACGCCGATGCCACATGCAAGCAACGAAAAGGCAAATTTGGTTGTGATGCCGTCAGGAATCCTAGGAAGAACAGGTGCATCAGTTTTTCTTGCTTAGCTACAGCTGATATGGCTGGTGCTGCATCTTTTCAGAGCCTCCAACTTTAAGTTGCCCGCAACTATGAGATAGGCTAGGTCGAAAACACACAACTTGCGAATTTTCAAAGCGACGCAAGAACAGCCTGGTCTCTGCAAACATCTCATGACAGCAAACCGAGACCGGCCTAGCAGAACCCAGGACTCTGTGAACACGTTGGGAAAGAAGGGCAGATCCTCGAACAGCCACGTGGAAACACAAACCAGAGAGGCAACACCTCAGAGTCGTGGGTCCTGCTCTTGGCACACCTGGTTCAGGTCACTGCACATCCTTGCAACGGTCTCAAGTTGCGTCAAGGAGCATCACTCACTGTCTTCAAGCTTTAGGTTGCCATCCATCACTCGTTTTGGGGATTGTTTCTCAACACTTATTGTAGCACACAGCACACGCAACATGACCGTGTATTGTACTGCATGCCCCACCAGCCCATCGAAGTTGAATTACCGCTTCGGGCCGTTCCCAGCAACTCCGCCTGTTGACCAACTTGCATGCACCAGCGAGTCCTCAAAAAGTTGTGGGAGTGCGGAGTGGCATTCTCATCCAACCTGCCATGGCATTGCTGATGCAGTGTGTTTCATTGCGTTGCCCTTCTGATTCTGCATATCTCATGTGTCATTGCAGCTCGACATGGCTGATGCGAAACCAACTGAAGCTGTCGACTGTCGTCTGAAAAAGATCCCAGCAACACCTTGAGAAAAACCCCTTTGATGTCAGCCGTTTCACATGCAGATGCTTACTGGAATTACGGGGCACGCGCGTCTGGCCTCAAACAACGCTGGCCTTAAAGTCCTTGCTCGCCCTGTAAACGCTTGCTACTAGCCATTCTTTTCGAGTGAACCAACCGGCAAGGGCCTAATAATGCTGGCGAGCCTTGTGGGATACGGTTTCACAGTCGAGGACTTATGCGCTAGGGTGCAGGGCACACAAAGATGTGTGCGCAAACATGGTAATCCCTTCATCTGTAAAAAGAGCCCCCACCCACAAAGCTCGAGGCTTCAGGGCTAGAGCTTAGGCTTAGGCCTCTCTCCCTCCTGCCCAGCTTCAGGGGAATCTGAGCCTAGGTCTACCCGAGTGCAAGATGCAGAGGTGATCAGAGGATAAGGGCAGCAAGCCAAGCAACTTCCGCCAACGCCCTCCATCTCATCACGCCTCGTCCAGCTCGAATCATGCCACACGTGCACCATCTCATGCAGCAGCACTGATGCCATCCTGCATCATGCTTTGCAGACATACAGTATTCTGCTTGCCTCACTTCTGCTATGAGGGAGCAGGCGAGATCACGGCAAGTTCACAACAGGCTTTGCATTAAGGCACTTAAGTTGCAGTCAAGCATGGAGCCAGCAAACCGTCGAAGATCGGCCGAGCTCTTGGGACTTAAGTACAATTTACTGATGCAAGTCGAAGCAACTTTGTGAGAACGCGAGAACGTAACGCAAAAAAAGATACAGCAAGTAATAGCGCAACAGGTTTGGTCCGCCAGCTGCAAATTATGGCAAGAAGATGTCTGGCAAATCGCCCTCACGAAGCTTCCACCGTCACCTGCAGCCTGCACAGTGGCCTTCTGCAGTGTTGCAACTAAGTATCCTGGGGTGTTTAGCCACAATCCGAACCTAGCTCAACTTGAAGAGATACACAAGTTTCGAACTTTGCCCTAAACGGTTTGGACTAGCCGAAACGAAGAATCAGAAACTTATCGCCGAACTTCTAAGCCTAAAATGAAATGACGAAGTGCAAGATTTCCCGCCACATGCCTAGTCGAAATGCAGCCAGACTGGACAAGTCTTCCCGAACCCAAAGGGTTTGGACTTGGGAGCGCAAAGAGCCGATTCCGAGATTTCTCACCGATCACAAGGACGACAGGGGTTCGCAGCTCAACTCAGGTTTACATCCGGATTGATTGTCAAATGTGTCAAATTTCACAACAAGACGACATGTTGAAGCCTGACCCGTCCTTGACAGAGTCCATGATCTGCAGCTTGGCCATATGAATTCGATCCACAACCTGTCACATCGCATGCGGCATACAGCTCCCAGCTGCATTGTCCGCTGCCGGCAGGTCCCCGACGTTGCCACTGTGAAGTCACCGTTCAATTCCCAACGCACCGCAGCCTCAGAGATATGGGGCACTTCTGGGCACAACTTGACCGGTGCCGAGCCTCTGCCCCCTCAGCTGCATCTTGAAAGCCTGGCAGAACAGCGGAAGTTCAGCGGCTGCCATGCCCCTTCCTCACTGCTCAAACCCCAGATGCGCCTGGAACTGAATGACGAAAACGAATGTCATCCACCTTGGGTTTGGCGTGCTTAAACCCCGTCACAATGTAAGCACTGGATCGAGCATTCCAGGAACATGAGGTATTGTGGCCACACGTGGCCACTCGCACAAAGCAAAGCGAACTGTACTGAACTTCTAACTTGGCCCCACTTGCCTTGGTAACCTTGGTAAGGGTCTAGCATGCAACTGGCCGCGGAAGAGCAATGCGTTCAAGCACGTGAAGCTTTGCCAAACCTGAACCGAAAACCATCCTTCTTGTTGCGGGGTCTCCACACTACAGCGGCAGGTCCAGCACCAAATAAAGGCTGTGGCAAAATGCTTCCTGTCCGGCTCGGAAAGATCCTTTCAAGCGTGAGCATTTTGGAACATAGTAAGTCAACTCATTGCACGGCAAGGCAGCGCCCTTCTCCTGCATGCAAAGCTGCGGGCGCTCCATCAGAATGGAGGGAACCAAGGCAACCTGCGTTCAATGCTTTCATTGTTTTCTTCGAGACAGGAGTGGAACCGAGTCTAGCTTGGATATTGCTGGAATGCGCAGTTATCTGTAGAGGCCTCTGCCGGACTGCATGAAAAGGATGCTTCTGGATCTCCGTGAATGGCTATCCACTCAAGCCTAGGTAATCAAGTGAATCGCGTGGCAGCGACGAAACTGCTGTCGGGATGCGGCTGTCATCTGCCGTCATGTTTGTAACCCCCTGCGAGATTGGAATGAAAAACGCTGGAGGACTGCTTGGCTTCAATACAAACCATGCGAAACCTGTCACAGTTGCCAAGTGTTATCCATGTGGGCCAACGGCTCCCGGCCAACATGGACTTCGGACTTTAGGTTCAACCTTCTTTGCGAGCAGTGTCGGCCACTTGAATGAGCTTCTGTATCCTGTTTGGTGCGAGGAGGAAACACCAAGGACTCCCACCCAAAGATGATGTACAGATCTTGGGCAACAACACTGCCCTCTTTCCTGCACCACCCCGCCCCACGCCCTCCCGAAAGCAAGGAGTTGTGTGGGGCTAGGCACGTGCTGGGGGAGTGGGGGGAGGGGGGGGTAATGGGGTGGCTAGCAAAAAAAGGGCCGTGATTGGGGCTGGTGGGGGCGGGGGGGGGGAACCGGCCGCCGCTCCATTTATGCCTTCCTGGTCATCCGAACAACCATTGATACAGCACTGGAGGCACACAAAAAGATTCCTAGACTCCTAGGTTCACAATAAGCTACATTCCAGCATCGTTCATGCCTTGTGAGCGCGTGGAAGTGTAAGTCTGGGACCGGGAGGCCTCAAATGCTGCTTCCAATGCAGGCCAGCACGAAAGCCTCTGCAGATCACTGCAGTGCCCAGTCATTCAGACAGCTGATGTTGTGCTGAGTACGAAAACACAAGGATCTTCAAGTTCATCTCCCGTACCAGGAAAGGCACCTATCTGTCCGGAGAAGGCAAAGATCCCGCCTCAGCAAATGACCACTTGTCCTACACAGGGTGCATTGAGTCCATCGAGATGGACATGGGGCTGACTGTAATGTTGCAGCACATTCGTGGTCCAGGCATTTAACACAAAACCCTCAGTTGCGGACCAAGTCATCCTGCGAAGTGCACGGCCTCTAGGTGCACAGGCCCGGTAAAAAACACGCCGAGCTGCCTGCAGAAACAGCCGACGATAAAAGCTGCTGCCACCCAGGGCGAGCACGTGCAACTTTGTCAGATGGTATTTGGGAGAAGTCAGCAAACAAACGTCAACCATTGTCTAAGCATGGATTGTTTTCTGAGTGACTGCATGGTCTTGTCATGTCCCGCGTGCCCTGGCAGCAAGCAGAAGTGCTCCGATGCAGCTAAGTCGGAGCAGGAGGTGCGGATCCTCGGGAGCACTGAGAATCGACTGAGCACACCAGTGCGTTCAGCGGCGGAATGGCCTTGCTTGCGGAATGCCACGGCTGACCATCTTCCGAAGCTGGATAGTCCTGCAGTAGGAAGACAAGCAGAAGCTGTCAGAAGACGGCCCACTGTGATAATCGCGACAGCGACTCATGCAGGCGTGCCATTTACGTAAGAGTATCTGTCCATATCCGCCCAGCATCCATCACCTGTCGCGACGCAACTTCAATGAACATGTCGCCACACGTTCGATGCTTGGCAGCTATTCGTGGAAAGCACCGGCAGAATCTGGCAATCTGTGATCGCATGTCGCCGTATGCCATATCTTGCTTCAGGATGCATGTCCTTCCTAGCCGAAAACGATGAAGCTCTGCCTGCTGCGGCGAGGTACAGACCAGAGCATCCAGGATCTCTCCAGGTGATGTCTACAAGTCTGCGTCGCTGCCGCAAGATCCGCAAGATGCTGCAGGACGTCGGACATCATTGCAGCTTCATGGCAGCATTTGCAGCTCATTTACACTGAACACATGCAACGGCTTCAACGCAACGACTAGTAGCAAAGTTATTCCCGGCGCATGGTCGACTCGCTAATCCCTTATCATGGATCGACTGCAGCTCTTTTGAATCGTGTCCTTGTACTTCTTTGTATCATGTTGTATCTCTCTTGCCTGCAACCTGTACATCCAGGTACCAAGGCACGACGGCGCTGATTCTGGTGAACCGTCTGGCACAGCTTCCTCGTTCACGATCTGCTTAGCTGTTCAGTCCAAGATGATCGAACCGGCATTGCACTCGGTTTCCGCGGGGCTGCTCATCGCAGCACTTCAGGACCTTTGCAGCATGTGCGAAGGCTGGGACAATGCTGCCAGGCAGAGGACGCTCCCATGGACCCCAGGACTGAAGAGAATCTCCGATGACGCAACCTCGGGTTCGGCTCCAACTCCGTCTCAAAGATTTCAGGGATGAAGGGCTCATTTCTTCCTGCCATGAAAAACAGCTATGCTCACAGTCAACAGCACTGGCCTTTAACGCGCCGCAGAGAGTGAAGGATGTCAAAATTTCAAGATGTGAAGGGGCTGCAAGGGTCTGAGATCCCGACAATGCCGGGCTCCACAAATTGGTACCTAACCATTCGCTGCTTTAGCCAAAAGCAAGGTGGGTACCGTGTGCAGAGTGAGCTGTCAAAGAAAGGCATGTCTGAGTTCCGTTCGTATCTCTTCATTCTCTTGGATGCTCGTTCTTGATTCCCCACCTTGGGTGACCTGAGACTCACAGCTGCAGCAGGGCAAAGAAGCTGACAGAGTCTTCGCTCAGAGACAGGCGGTTGTCGCAATTACAGATCGACTGCTGACATAGTACGTGCCCTCGTGCGGAAGACAGAAAGATGAGCAGCTCACCTTCCAACACAGCTTTTGGCCGATCTTCGGATCCAAGCATGAATGCAAAGGCAGATTGACAATGCAGTACACTTACCTGCCGGACCGAGCGCCAGAAAGCTCGCTTGTATGGATGACGAAGAAATTTTAACGAAGCACAGACAAACCCTGAACCTTTCAGCAAGCTACAGCGAGAGAAGGATTGTGGACTCGAACACGCTCAGTAGCGGCCTCATTGCCGAAAAGACTCAGCTCGAGCACGAATCTTCCAAGCCACAAAGCCAACAGCCTGGCATGTCATGACACTCAAAGGTGCGAGACTTTGACTGGCACACAGATGCAAAACTACATAAACTTGCCAGTCTTGCACCGACAACACTTTTCCGAAGGCATTGCCTGCATGCTCCCCCTGCTCTTGCGACTCTGCCCAAACATGCTGCTAGGACGAAACGCCGTAGCTTAGCTACAGCGCATGAAGTGAGTCGTAAGCCTTACGCTTGTTGTTTGACGGTACTGTGCAGCGGAACACCCCATGTTGAAGAACGGCTCGACAAGGAGACATCAACTAAGCACATAAGCAGACAGCCAGAACCTTGCAAACCAAACCTTGGCTTTCGTAGAGAAAGTGCTCTGGGAGGCATGCTGGGGAATATGGCGGAGGTGGGCAGGAGCAAGATCTGTCGGTGTGGTTCATAGAACAGTTAAGCACTGAACCCTGCTCACAGACTTTATGCTGTGCTATCACCACGCGTCACAAAATCTTTGCGCGTGAGAATGCCACAGAGCTTGCAGCCACGTCGGACAACAGGCAAGTGCCTCAAACCCATCGTTCGAAACAGCGCATAGGCACGACGGACTGTGGCAGTGTCCTCAATAGTGTAGGCTCCAACATTGATGTACGGCTTCAGGTCCACCTCTGTCTGATTAATTGAAGTTGTGCGAGAAGGCATTGTGTCCTCGGGGCAGCCCGCTTTTTGTAACAGGTCCAGCAATGCAGCACGACTCAGCATTCCGCAGTAATTTTCAGTACCTGGCTCAACAACAGGAAAGGCATTGTGCGACGTTTCTAGGACATCCCCCAGGCGAGTCACACTTTCTACGATGCCGACAGTTGCAACATCCGTGGCCATTACGCTAGACACCAGATCAGGTTCGGCAACTTCAACATCAGCAGGCAGAAACGGGATGTGCTTCAGATGTATATGGATGTCATAAATCCCTTCATTGAACAGGTTTCCCAAGCTGCGCGCAACAATGACGGCAAATAAAATCGGAAGGCTGTACTGCGTGTTTCCGGTCGCCTCAATGAGTATGACAGCCAGGGAGACTGTGATGCGCGCCATACCGGCCAGCGTTGCTCCAGCGCCCACCAATGCATACATTCCTGGTGGTGCAACTTTGCCACTCAGAGATTGCAGACCTTGCCCAACCAGGCGTCCAAGCACAGCACCGACCAGAAGAGAAGGCACAAAAAGTCCGCTTGGAACACCGAGACCATATGTCCAACAGGCCAAAAAGAAGTATAGCAGCCCAAAGAGAGTCAGCAGCCTGGGGTCGTACGTGCGTGGATCGTGGAAAAGGACTTTGATTGCATCCTCACTGGGCGTCACAAATAGCCCGATCCCAGGCTGACTTGCAACCGTCTCTTTACAGACTAGGACAAGGTCATCATGCGAACCATGACCCACATCGGTGACGTAGCACTTCTTTGCGAGCATTGCAGGAACAAAGAACATGGCAGCGATGCAAGCAGCCACACACAGCACCTCTAGAAAGCGAAACCAACCGGCTGCCCCGACCCTGCGCATTCGCCATAATGTCAGCGGAACATTCAGAGCATTGAATGCGGCCCCGATCAGGCCTCCCAGAACCCCCAACGCCACAAAGAACGGCATCTCCCAGATGTGATAGCTTGTGCTTGCGCTTTCAAAGTAATCTCCGAATGTGAGCACTCCAAGCGCGCCGAGTGTGCCAAATCCAATTGAGTCGAAACCTCCCAGAAAGAAGTTCAAGGTCAAGGCAGACGCACAAGAGCTAAGCAGTGCTTGCAAAAGCACTTTAGCATTCCAGAAGGATGATCCTTCTTCCATGGCAAAAAGCATGCCGCCAATTGGAGCACCAAATGCAGCAGCCACTCCTTCAGAGCATCTCTGGGAACACACAGGGAACCACTAAGTTCACTAGCTACACTGAGTACACTGTCAGACGCATCTCGCAACGGAGACTACAGACTATGCGAACTATTGTACCTAGGCCTATTGTAAGCCTAGTGTAAACCTACCGTGAACCTATGGTAAACCTTTTGTAAACCTATTGTAAACCTGTAAACCTATTGTAAACTAGCGCCATTCCCGCATGTATCCAGCGCATCACCTTGTCAAAACCCGGTAGAATGCAACAGGCCTGCTGCACCACCCGCTGTGATCATATCCCGGAGCTCAATGTCTCGAAGATTGCTGGGCCCCACAGGAAGGCATCGTGAGAACAGCGCGCCGAGAATTGCACCGCTGTGAATCATGGGACCCTCTTTGCCACATGGGAGCCCTGCAGAGACACTGAAGAGTACTCCACAGGCCTTGGCGAGTAACGTTCGTGGTTTGACAACAAGCGGCAGATCTATCCCATTCAACCGACATTTCACCTCAGGAATGCCGCTGCCAGCTGCCAAGGGCGACACAAAGCAGACAAGAGCTCCAGCTACAGAAGCAAAGGTAGTGCAGAGCAATACATGAATGACCATCAGAAGCGACTGTGGTGTCCCTTGTTTCACCAAATCTTCCATTGCACCGAATCGAAACCGTGTGAGCAGCTCGATGCCATAGTCAATTCCAGAAGCCACCAAACCTGTAGCAAGTCCTATCATCAAGACTGCAATCCACTTCGCTGTAATCCCACATGCTGTTGGCTTTCCACTTTCCGATGCACTTTCATACAAGTCAAAGTCGATGGATTCCAGAGCGTGCCCTGTCGAACGTGGTATGCGGGGGGCTAGCGCCACGGACTCCGTAGATGCTGGATCAGGCCTTCGCTCGGCTGATCTGAACATGGCAAGTTGCACCCTGGTGCCCTCACTGAGATGCTGAAGCCGCTGTAGCAAAGCATGGAAACACCCCTTCGCCCAAACCGAAAACCACGGGCCCCTCCAAGTTATGTACTCAGGGGTTTTGGGGGGGGTATGCATCTCAGACTCATTCAGACACAGCTCGCTCGGTTGTTGATTGTTTTTGCCGCCCCTTGGCACATCTGTGTCTGCTGCTCTGCGAACCTACAGCCACTCTGCAGAGTGGAATTACAGAACTGGAAACTCTAGCAGTAATCGTCAAACGAGTACAAGAGAGGACATAACGGTATCAGAAATGAGTGTGATTGTGCAATTGGGATTGCCCCAGTTGGGGTGTGGGCTTTTTCGGGGGTCGGTTATACATTGTTCCTTGCGGGTTAAAGAGAAACACCTTCGGGATGCCTTGAGAAAATTCTGTTGGTTCTGTTGAACCTAGTGTGTGCCAGGCGCGAACAAGACATGGTTGGCAGGACAGAGAGGCATGTCAAGCTTCCATGCTCTTGCTACTGGTATTAGTATCACGTTTACTATTTTGACTATGAGAATTACTATGATGAGTACTACTGCTTTTCGCCACTGCTATTACGATTACCATTGCTATTCCGAAGGAGAGGTCCTGGAAATGTACATACTGGGGGGGGGGGCCTGGCCCACGTATGAACCCTAAAGAGGGTTAACCTCTCCCACCCCCCGGTATATACACTCTTGGTCGTGGTCCTCTGGGCGTGCGACTCGTAAATTACAGGCAGCAACTGCGCCCGCAACAAGTACATATCAAGACTACCACCTGACTAAAACCACGACCAGAGCGAGTTTTTCGTGCAGTAAGCGTCATGCCTTGGCGCGGTTTGCCAACTACATTGAATTTGTTTTCGTGGAACTTCTCTTGCCTTCGCCGAACTCTGAACACCGCATGGCCTTCGTCTTCTGGACTGCGGCGGATGTCCGTACCCTGCTTCTGCAGCCAAGGCTTCAAGCGACCACCTCGATTGCTGCAAGGGCATAGTGCCACATGAAATCATGTGCATGACAAGCATGTTCCCTCTGTACATGAAAGCTCATCTGCTAGAGCGCTTGCCTTGCAGACGTCCACGTCCTCTTGCACGGGCCTTGCTGCCTACACAAAGAACAACTTGAGACAGCGACGGGCTCAAGGCACGATTCTGCAAAGAGATCCGGAAGAGGTAGTACCCTGCCAAGCACCGCAACTCATGGTAATTCACGTCATTTACGACCATGTTCTGTTGCTTTCAGGGCCCGCAGTCAGCACCCTTGCATCGATTGAGGCTCCCAGAGGTTCCACTATCTTGAAAAAGGCCACCTGAACCTGTAGGGACCTGCAGCCCAACTAACTTTGCTGCCCCGCGGTCCAGGTTTGATGCGTGAGCCGGAGCCTAGCCGATGCCCCCCCCAAACCTCGCCATGGCAGTATTGACTAAAGTCACCTTCGAAAGATGCCTCCCCCAAGTCGCCGCTTATATCCCAGTTTGTCTCTCCATGCCGGGTGGATCGTCTAGGACTTCTATCACGAGCATTGCCCTTGGGCTCTCGAGTCGCGGATGCTCATACGTGTAGTGCAGTGTGTCACAAAGCAGGCAAGACAACTCAACTCAGCCCATGCGTGAGCCACCTGCGCGCAGGGGCTGGGATGAAGTGGCACCTCAATGAGACAATGTGGTTTGGCGGCAAGGGATATCAAGGGAGACATGCTGAGTCCATCCCACCTTCTCCTTGCAGTTCCATTGCTCCGGCTTGCTGTCCACTGCTCCCTTGTCCGCATTGACACGAGTAATACTACTAAGAGATTTTGGATCAGGCTAGAAAGATGTAAGCGGACTCGGACCAAGCCATAGCATTGCCTCCAACCAGTCGAGGAGGTTCCTGTGAGAAGTCAGTGTCTGGGAATGAGTAGCCGCCACATGCCGCCACAAGAGGAGCTGTTAGCGCGGCCGAGGCTCCGCTTCGCTCGATGCCGTCTCTCGACGCACACACAGAGCTGATGCTCGAGGAACCCTGGCCCCGTGCACCACACATCCCATCTTCAGACATGCGTCATCTGCCCTAGCCATCTGCCTCCGCAAGTGTATCCCCTTAGCTTTCTCAGCTCCCGCTTCGACTCCAGGCAGATTGATGGGCAGGTTGATTGCCGAGTCACATCCTTGTGGAAACCAGGAGCTGCAAAGCACCTCGCAGTTCTACGTCGCTCCCTGCTGACATCTGCTGACAATGAGTCTGGGTGGGCGAAGCGCATCCACCGAACCAAACAAGAAAGAATCTAATGCGTCACGGACCAAAGTCAATTTCAAGCCTTGCTAAGCAGGTAGGCATGCACTGCATGCACCTCGTATGACCTCAAGAAGTCGACAGTTGCACAAGCTCTTCTCAAAACACAGAGAAGCGGCAGTACAGCGCGTATGGGCCTGGAGATGCCATCTCGGCGAGTGTCATCTTCTGAATACTTCTGTGCTCTCGAAAAAGAGTAGTGTAGTAGCAGTAGTCCAGACAACACCAGCTTCAGGGTTTCAATGCTCATGATATTGGCAGTGCTTGACGGTGACCACGGCGTTCGCCCATGATATCAGTTCGTTGCTATCGATTGATTGACTCTGGACGCTCTCTAGACTGTAGATCCTAGAGCCCCGTGCAGCACAAGCTATTGTGGTGCGTCATGCTGCTCCACAATTGATGCTGAGTATGCAAGGAACATCATGTTCGCACGACATTTCATGTCTTTTTGCACTAGTGTGCTCGGTCTTGCAACGCGGCAGTTCCACAGCACATGAGGAACTTGCAGAGCTGAGAAGAACACTCACTTGACCTGCCGAGGCGAAGTTGCAACACATTGTTTAGAGGTGCTTGAGATTGGACGTGGGTGCCGCGAAACTGGCACCCTAAACTGAACAAACTGATAGAATTGTTTGCCCAAGGGCTCTTGTGCAGTTCTGGGGCTGCAGCCGCGGTGTCTTTGTACGACTACACAAGCAGCAGCGAGAACATCAAGATGCGAACATGACATTTTTTGTGAAGGGGGGGGAGGGGGATCCAAAAGAGTACCGATTTTAGTATTCCTTTAAGAAGAATTCGAGGGCTTTTGGGATACACTAGTATGTACGGGGTACCCCCTTTTCATGAAAGAAACATGCAGAATTTGCCAAGCCTCCTCCTTGTCCTTCTTTGCATCCTCCTTCTTTTCTTTCTCCTTTCCGTTCACAGCCGAAGGTGTGGACATTTAGTGTAACCAAGATATACTTCTGATAACGATTGGCTGTGGAATCTGGAAGGCCTTCGGCTCTGCAGCCTTTTCCTGCCATGGTAACAACACCAAGAACTCCACAGCCTAAGTGGTGTCCACATGGTCCGCCTTTTGCTTCTTGTTCCTCATTTTGTTGTTGATCAGGTTGTGGAGCGCCACGGTCGATCGAAGCATGCTACCCAGGTACAAGGCCAGCCTGGATGCGTTGAGCATACTGTGCCTCTCGCCATGGCTCCGCAGGCAACGAGTCACAAATCTGAGGCCAGCACATCATATCGTTTGTTTCAGTCGCAAGAGACCTGACTAGTTCTTCTGAGTCCTGGCATCTGGAAGACAATGTGTAAAACCGCCTTCAATCTTTAACTTTAACTGCCCTTGAACAGTGTCACGTATGTTAACATTTTAACTTGATAGCCACGGGCACAAACGAAAGCTCCGTGATGCAGGCCCTTTTTTTTCTTCCCCGGGCTGGTCGGCCATGCACGACCAGCTTGCCAAGACTCCGAGAGGCGTTCAGAACAAGCAGATGTAGGCTTTAGGCGACCCCCGGCAGTGCCGCCAAGCACGCCGCCCGGCGAGCATCAGCAGCATCAGCCCGGTCCCGTTTCTCCTCAGAAAGGCACAAAAACGAGACCACGCCGAGGACACCCGAAAAATGCTCCAAAAAACCGTTTTGGGCAACCGCCCTGGGGCCGAAATTGGGTGGGGGACGCCGAGCCGGAGCGATTTTTTCACCAACCCCCCCCCCCCCCCAACACCCCTCCGTGGCTCCGCCCCAGCCCTGACGGGGTATTGAACGACAGCTCCACGGGGGAGCTTTCGTGATTTGCAGCCGCAAGCCCTTGGCAACTTGCCTGGTCGGGCATCAGGTTGAAGATCTCCTGTAACTGGTATATGATCTCCTGCAGCCGACGGAAACTGAGTCATGCTGCTGTTCGTTCGAAGAGAGTCCCCGGAGGTACAAAATAAAAACAACTGCCCCGCCTGGTTCATTGGCAGCTTGCCAGCTACCACTTGGCTCAAGTACTGCGAGATTTCGCGAAGTCGCATCGCCAAGCCCTGTCAGCCATCACGCAGCCATTGGTGTCCTTATGGCCTCTGCATCCTCAACACTTTCGGCACGGACCAGCGGCCTTTAGAGCACCGATCTTGTCACCGACGCGCACAGCCAGAGTAGATGCCGATCTTGGCAGCGACGTGGCCACCACAATGCAAGAAGAAAAAGGTAGCAGGCTCCAAGGCACACTATACGCAAAGCAAAGACCAAGCCCTCCACGCATTCTTGATGTCACGAAGAAGGTGCTCGACACCAACTTCTTCGGCCTGACAACGCTCGATCATGGCGCCTGTGTAGCAGATATTCAACATGACAGCGAGAGACTGTGGCCTCAAAAGCTCCGACTGTGGAGTGGACATGCAGGAACGTCCGTTTGAAAACCTCCCAGGTTGCAGATTGTTGCTACACCTTCTTCTACTCAGACGCCAAAAGGCTACTCAGAACAGGCACCTCATCCGAGGTCTGCTCTTGAACAGAGTAGTATGCTTCCATGGGCAGCTCCAGATCCTGGCCCACGCTGCAAATCACTGCAGTTGAGTTGCACAAGATGCTTGATGTCTTGCCTTTGGCTGCACATCCATGACCACAAGCACCGGTTCAGGGCAGTACCTGGTAGCCCACATTAGGATGCTTCCTGGCTAAACGCAGCAAGCTCAGGCAGCAAGCGCACCGTCGATACAGCTCATGGATGCTGAGGTCAGAGGGCTTGATCTTTGGTCCTGTGGAATACCACCCCACAATTCGCTCTTTGGTGTTCACCTGGCACAGGCTAACTTTCTTGCAGGTTCACCGACGCTCACAGATGCTACGTACAATCCGGGACCGTACAATTGCGACGTGGCCTTCTTGAACATGGCAAACATGGCTTCGTGATAGTTGTGGTCGAGAAACCACACCTACAAACCGAGAGCAACAAGTTTTTAAACAGACAAAAAAACAAAGCAGAATGAATGCGCACACAAGACCCACAAGACGGGGCGTTTGCGAAGCTAAGGCAAGCCTGTGGATCCCGCGGATCTTCCTCGAAGGGCACAGCAAAGCAGTTGGTGATGTGTAGGCTGTAGTCCGACACCTGTCCAACATGTCTTGCATCTGCCAAGCTCTTGGCGAGAAGACAGACTGAGTCGTGGCACGTCCCGCAATGTCTGTACCAATATTCTGGAAGCTCTGTCAGTCTTCTGTGAAGGTGGGTTAAGAACGAAAACGAGAACGAAGAGAGGCGAGCGCAGGGGACGGGAGCAGCCTTACGGGCAGGTGCGGCCAAGCAAACCGTGAAGCGAGAAGTGCGGGTACAGCCTCACCCAGCAGCGTTCCAACCACTCGCTTGGTCGTACCTTTTGCGACCTTGTCATTGCGGAGGGCCAGATGACAAAGCAACATGAAAATCCACATTACATGCAACTGCTTGCCACAGACCTCGTCACACAACCAACAGTTGCATGCCACGCTAAATCCAGACATCTTCACTGAGGTCAAGTGTCTTCTAAGCTCTTGCCGAGAGATGCTGGTTCCGGCGAATCCACTGTTCCATGCTGGTTAAAACAAAGGGGTCCCGCTTTGCAAGGTCAAGTTCCCCGGCTTTCAAGATCTCCAGTTGTCTTTGTTTCTCGGCCCGCGCTTAAAGTTCTTCCGGAGTGTGAAGGCCAGGAATTTTTTGGGGAGGGTAAAGCCCTAGTAGTCCATGCTGCAGTCCAGCAGACGCACCTACCGAATCGGGTCAAGCAACTCGGTTGTAGTGGTCTACCACGCCAAGCAAGACGATGGGGTGGACCACCACGTCACGTCTGTCCTGCATGTGTACTCTGCGTCTGGATGATGATTCCACATCGTCATGAGTCATCGAGACTTGCCGACCCATGAAGTTGAAAAAAATGCCTTCTTGGCTTCTTTCGGCTTATCGCCATCTTTCTTTTCATCCTTCTCCTTATCGTCCTTTTCATCCTCCCGAAGCAACATGCAGTCAAATTTAAGTACACCAAGGCTAGCTCTTTTCTTCTTCTCCTTCTTCTTCTGCACACTTCAGGGCCCGCTATAGGAGAGGGAGGGAGGGAGGGAGAGAGAGAGAGAGAGTGAGAGACAAAACCAGGCCGCGACGCTTTCCATCCCTCTGGTGAAGCACAGAAAGGCCATGAAAATTTATCCTTGCTGTTCTTCTTGTCTTCCGCCATGTAGGCGCACACTGTGCGAAGGCTATTTGGAGAGACTTCTGCAAACTGTGGTCCGCAACAGCGCACGGAGAGCAGCATTGTAAGATGACTCATGCAAAATCACTGGACTATCAACTGCAAACTACAGTCACAAGATCACGAAGGAAGCATGCCTCGCATGTCTCCATGCATGCATCATGCAACGTCAACTTTGCAGGCAGCGCGCATGACTGGTCAGGGTCTTTGAGTCCTTGAGCTTACAGTACACTCTTTGTATACCGAGCAATGTCTACTTTATCTGAGTCTCACTCGCCACCTGGCTGACCACCAATGCCTTTCATCAAGCCCTTCGCCTCGACTAGAGCTCCAACCTCGTCATCAAACGACGTCTGCCTCAAATCAAAGTTCTTGAGCAAGAAGTCACAATCAGAGTGCAGCGTTCCCGCTGCTGATATCAAGGCTTTCGTGGCGGAGTCGATATTCGTCTGATCTGTGCTGGCATCTGCCATCTCGCCCTGAGCTCGGATGCAGAGTGCTCACAGACTCAAAGCTGCTCACATCCTAGAACGCACTGCAGTCATGTCCTGCAACGTCCTGCAACCGCATCTATGCGCGCCTGAGCCTTCGTGATGGCTGCCTTCTTTCCTTCAACCTAAACACAGCAGTCCACTTTTGCCGCACTCTCTCTTTTTCTCTCGCTCTCTCTTTCTTTCTTTCTTTCTTTCTTTCTTTCTGGAGGCGTGGGGGCGAGCCCCCGCGCGTCATCGCCCGCCCCTGTATTTGGGGCTGCTCGGTGAACTGGTGGAGGTGTCCGTGTCGCTCTCTCTCGCTCTCTACCCATCCTACACAACTTTGGTTCGCAATCTTATTCCGCCCTGCACCCTGAGCGAAGGAACACTGGTGTTGCGTTGCAGAAACCAATGCATTGCATTTTGTCACATACAAGCTTGGCGTCGGCAAGAAGGCTGAGATTACACTGATTACACATTCCGACTACAAGGGTAGCCTCCCTCATGTCTGACGTCAACATGAAAGCTGTCTCAGCAGATCTGGAAACGATGCTGAGGCCTCCTTTTTCTTCGATGCAACATTGACGGTAGTTTCCTTGGCAAGCTTTTCATAATCTGCTTGCGCCGTGTTCTCATCTTTGATGGCCTGCTTCTCAGCCGCCTGCCCATGGCAACGCCATGGGATCGACATGTGAAACTGACAATCTTGTGGAGGTGCAACTCTTCAACGACATGTCCATGACCCTTGCCTCAGCTTGCTGGCTAATGTGAAGCAACATCGCCATGACACCTTTAGACCCTGCATTCTTCTTGTAGGCATCAAAGCCTTTCGGTGCAGATGGGTCCAGTCCATCAGAAACACCAGCCTGTAGGCTTGTCTCCTTGCAGCATGAGTGAGCTTACAAATGGCTTACAATGTCAGGTTTTGCAGCCCACGGAGTCCTCTGAAGCGGCGGACAGCTCCAGGAGCGAAGCTTTATCGTAGTAGTCTGACAACACTTTCATGGCACCCTTCAGAAGCTTCTGCGTCTCGCGTTGGTCATTCACGCCGGTCTGGAAAGCCTTGTTCTGCTCTTCTCGCTCTTGAGCCGCCTTGGCCAGTTCTGTGTTGAGCGTGTCAATCTCTGACACAATCTCGTCTTTCTCCACAGCTGCTTTCTTTATCTTCTCCTGTAGCGTTTCCAGCAGAATGTCCACGTCTTCCTTTTTGCGCTCCTGCTTGGCTTGCTGAAGCTTGTTGTCGGCGATTTGCTCTTTGCAAAAATCCTTCTTCTTCATTTCGCTGCCTTTTTTCTTCTTTAATTCTGATATCCTTAACATGCTGACGAGCAGAATGAGTGCAAAACATGAAAACAACAGGTCACCTAACACTCTTCGGAATCTTCAATCACTGGCAGAATCAACTTAGCATGACTAAGGACTGGCTGAGAAGCATGTCATCGATCGCCTTGGAAACCTCTCCCAAGCTGTCCACCCTCGCCCGGAGGGCCAGTGCGGATAGCCGTGGATCATTGAACCGCCGCGTAACTCGCAACAAGTTGGACATGGCACCCTCTGGCGCGTGAGCGTGCTGGCTTTGCTGGAGGAAGCTTACCCCCTTCGCTTCCAGCTTGTCACGGCCATCGGTCAACACCTGTGTGGCCTGCCCTATTGCCTTGACCTCTTCTCTGCGGGTCTTCTGCCTGGCCGGGGGGGTGTCAAATCGTTTCTACCCAGTTGAGCAAAGTGATTGACTTCTTTCCCTCCTGCAGGCACATCTTCAGGTCTTCCCCCTCTCACACACGACTGTCTTTGTCTCAGTTGCGCGTGGACTAATCAGGCATGCAAAGCAAAACAGAAAGAGAGGAAGCACACGCGGGAAACAGCCGCTGAGTAGAGTGCAGGGTTTTGTGGGCTTTAGGTTAAAGCAAAAACGGGCAGGCATCCGCTACTGCAAGGTCGTAAACTTGACATAGCAAGAGATCCTCAAAGTGAGGAAGCACGGAATGTTGCAGCACAGTGTTGTGTCCATGAGAAAGCTACGGCTGTGTGTGTGTGTGTGTGTGTGTGTCTGTGTGTGTGTGTGTGTGTGTGTGTGTGTGTGTGTGTGTGTGTGTGTGTGTGTGTGTGTGTGTGTGTGTGTGTGTGTGTGTGTGTGTGTGTGTGTGTGTGTGTGTGTGTGTGTGTGTGTGTGTGTGTGTGTGTCTGTGTATGTGTGTGTGTGTGTGTGTGTGTGTGTGTGTGTGTGTGTGTGTGTGTGT